GACCAAAAAGTCATATGAATATATGACCAAGGTCATATCGAAAAAATGTTATGACCTATGTCATCGGCCAACACTGTCTGGCACCATAGGAGTTTTACTGACACAACTAGGGATATAGAAATCTAGCTTAAAACCAGTCTTTTGACCTAACATTACAATTTACAGATTTAATAATATATATCTAAACTAATAAAATTGTCAACTCTGACCCTATATGATGTAGCCTGTCTAGGAAATAACTTTTTTGGTTTTTTCTTTTTGTTTATTTATTTATTTATTCTTACGGTCATTATTAGATGCAAGAACTGAGAAATAGTAAAAAAACAAGTTTTAAATTCTAATAATAATTTGGCTTAACCGTGTAATGATTGTTATTACATGTTACTTCACTGATATAAAGAATAAAACAATATAAACAAAATCTAATGTGCATAAATTTAATATCCAAATTTTATAGATATTAAAAAGTTACCTCAATAGTTTTTTCTTTTAAAAATTCATAAGTAGCAAATGTATGTGAAATCCGTAAAGATGAAGGAAATTTATTTTTAATGACAGCTTTATCTACCCAATCAGGCCAACATTCGAGACCTTCATCTTCTACCAAATAATACTTCAAATATTCTGTTTTAACAATACTCTCATTATTAGTCAAATATCTTATAATAAATCTTTTTAATGCTATAGCAAATATTTTAGCTGGAATACACAAACTTTTAGTTAATTTGGTATTTTGGATTCGCTTTCCTTGTTCTAGTGATTCAAAGTCAACTGTATCTAAAATACTATGTTGCAATGAATAATCAAGTTTTTCTTGATATTGTTGAGAAACATAAGTATCAACCACGTCAGTTACATGATCTTCTATTAATTCATATAATGCTACTATATGCTTAAGTTGTAAACCAGTTTTTAACAATAGTTTACAACTATTCTGGTTTTCTTTTAATATAGCTAACTTCACCCAACTTTCAATGTAATCTGTGATTAATATGTCATGATCGCCTCCAGGCATACGTTTTAGAAAACTAATTATTATTTCCAAGGTTGAAAGTAATTCTTTTGGATTTTCTAATGAAAATACTGATCCGGAAGATCTTTCTCCTCCAGAATTTTTATTATTAGAATAAGTTCCCATCAATATTACTTTCTTATCTTCAGGAATATGTTCTTGAGGTATTAAGTTTTTAATTTCACTCAAAATTGTCATAGATCTAGAAAACATTTCTCTATGATATACAAAAGGTTCTAAGTATAATCCTTGTTCATCGGGTCTAATCAATGCTTTTTTGTGAACTAACTCTAATGCTAATTCGGCTTCAATCTTACGTAAATCATACTGGATCTCACGGCCATGACCAATTCTCAAATCAAATTGACTAAATCTAAATATCTTGGAATTTCCTTCATAGAAGACAATATGCTCTGGTCTTGCATTATCGAGAGTAATTGACTTTAAATGATATGTAGATTGAATGGGTCGTTCATCAGTATCTTGAAAGTCTATTTTTTCAAGAAATTTTAAGGACTGGCATTTTGAAGGAATTCCAATAACTTCATTAAGGAAATCATTTTGAAGCTGTACCAAGAAGTCTATAGCTGCACATAAAAACAAACTCTCATTAATTGGTTCCAATAATCCAAAAACAACAGAAATATTGTCATGCATTTTTGGCATTGGTTGTGGAAGAGCAAGGCATTTATATCTATTAATATATGGGATCAGTTGATTCCATGAATTTGCAAAATTAACGAATGCTTTATCTAATGT